AAAAAAAAAAAACACATCGCCTTTTCATACATTCTCCTTACTTGTTCCGGTGGGAGCCTGTTTTCTCTCGACAAGAAACTTGATTTTCTGTTAGAATCAAAGCAAAAATATGGTCAAATGAATCACCTGGATTTTTTTATTTTTTTTATTTTTACATGGAAAATGAATCTCCATAAATCCACGTTTCGGAAGGTTATAGACCAAAAAAGATCTCACCTTCACCGACTTGTTAACTTCTTCAAGCTTCCTAAGCATAAGATCTGTAGGAATGGTACCTTTGCCTTCCTGCAAAGCATGATGGGGAGATAATACTGTCTGCAAGATAAACAAAATCAAATAAAACTAAAAATGTGAATGCGTTGAGAGGATAAAACACGGCGTAACCCAGAAATAAATAACAATTTACGGAATTATTTACAACTTGGACAGTTAATTAACTGGATGTCACAACTCTCAAGGGTAACCAAATGGAATTAGGATTAATGTTGGCTATTTGTTTTCGATAAATTGGAGTGTAAGTGATGTTTGTTTGTTTGAATGAATGAATATGGTTTTACTTATGTACCTTCCAGCTTTTAGATGGTGTTGGTGACCTCAAAACTGCGGGACCCAAAGTTAAAGATTCCATACGGGACATGCTTTCGCTTTCAGTAACTTGACTGCTATTACTCCAGCTTCCAACTGCATCTTGTATAGCCTTTGAAGCCTGTGTTACTATTACCTGCATATTTATGAATTCTTTTTTTAAGAAAAAATCCGCGTTATGTTATAAAATCCACAAATCGTCCCCTTTAACTATAGTTCGTAAAAAGAAACATTTGTCGATGTATCCAGGACATTCAGAAGGTAGCTTTGTGTGTGTGTGTGTCTGTGTGGTTCGGCTAATTGTCACTAAACCTGCAATAAGATCACAAATTTTTTCAATGTAAATGATTCTTTATCAATATCCCAAACAAAATGCCGGTTTTAGGTTAGATAAAAGTTACCTTCCTAAGAAATCCAGGGTCACTAACCCCTTGAACCTGTAATTCATCAATGGGAGCTGCTTTCCCTTGTGCAATGCTTACGATTTTGAAGGTACGTAATCCATACACCGACTGCAAGCAACCTGCATATACACAAAAAACTTTTGTTTTTTGTTCATAAATGCAAAAAAAAAAAAATAAAAAAAAAACTGCAAAAAGAGCATGACTAATCACACAACTAACCTAAAATTCCAAACAAAGTGGATTCACATGTTGTAAGAGCAAAGATTATTTCATTTTCATCTGCAAACTAATTACAAGCCACAACAGCTACTCAATCTCAACAGAAAATAAATCAAACACACGCTAAGCTTTTGTTTTCATACCTTGTTCTGTTATAACACCAATTATCAGGGAAAGAGGTATACGCTTCTCGATTTTTGTTTCCCCCAAGAATGGTACGAATGAAGGCCTCGAGACCTGAACAAACAAAGAACGAAAATGAAAACAAAAATAGCTGAGGTTCAATTTAAGGATCTTGGTGTCCCAATGTGCTGAATCATGCAAAATAAATAAATAAATAAATAAATACCTTGTATACTAATTCTTCTGTCGTGGCATAGAGTTTACGTGATGCGATATCTTTCTGAAGCACATATCTTCTATAAGGTAAATAAAGCAGAAAAATGATCCCAACACCCCATGCTAAAACCAGCAGGACAGATATCGAGAGCCATATAATTGTGTCGTACTGAACGTTTTTGGATGCAAGCTCGTTAAATGAAGCTGTATATAACACTCTCGAAGGATCATCAATATTTTCATCAACATCTAGTTCGGAAATGGGATCGGAGAGTGGCAGGTTTTGCGCCGACCCAAGCTTCGGCAGGGCTGCAGCATGACCCATCAGCATTTTCGCAAGCTGATAACCCAATAACCATACAAAATTCATCAAGAAAATCTAAGTATTGCTTAGGAAAAAGTAGAGGAAAAAAAAAAATTGATAAAATGATACTAGCCTAAATAATAATCATAGTAAGGCAAAAAACATGATTTTTTTGTGAAACCCATAAAAACTAAATCATTCTTTTCTTCAAAAAAAAGGGAATTAATACTTACGAGATATGCTATGGTCCCGTTACGGAACCATTCTGTCGGGGTTTGAAACCGTGAGATTAATTATCCCGACTACATGATGATGTAACGTTTTCAAACCCCGACGGAATGGTCCTGTAACGGAACCGTAGCATTTCCCAATACTTAATATTGAAATAAGATATCATTGTTCCTTTATCAGACTCATCCCCATGATTTGCACAGCCCAACGCAAGAATTACAATCTGAATAAACAAAATCTTGATACATTCATACACAGGACACCATATAATAGACCCAACGCAGCTTTTGAACGAACAAATTACAGCGAAAAAAGAATTGTTCTAACTGAAAAATTAAAGAATGTATCACTAAAGAGTCGAATTTTCTCAGCCAAAAGACCTCCATTCTTGAGCATATATTCATGATTTATTTTAGAGAACAAGCAAGACAACGTAAGCGAAAACAAAAATGGACAATGAAAAGGATAACAACAATCCAGACACTTTCAAATTTCACCTGAATTTTAACACCCCAGCTAAGCGACCAGTACAAATCTAACTCTGTTCGATCCAAATTTTTTCTGGATATTTTTTCTGTTTCTTCAAGAACTAACGACCAGCTGGAGAATTGAGAAATTTATCCAACAAAAATAAGAACAGGAAAATGGGCCGTTAAATAGAAATAGCCCAGTTGGTACGACTTGGGACGGGCCCAACGTGATAGACGAAAGTACACAACCAAGTGATAGTATTTGATAATTGAGAAAATTACGCCCTCTACCAACAAATCTCTATTTAATTGCATATTTATAAAGTTTTTGTTATATTATAAATATATTTATTTATTATTTATGAATAATTGATTAGTGATTTACTTGTGTAAATGGCTTTTAAATTTTACAAGTGGTTTATACTGATTTCAAAAAATATAGGAAACATGTAAAAGGACAGTTTATAATAGGAGTACACTTATATTAGTAGAAGAGTATATGACAGTTTTCTTTTCCGAAACGACAGACAATAATTAACAAACACAAATATTTACAGACTAGTACAACTAAACAACTGAATTAACCAGCTACTAAATTGAAACTAGCGGAGAATTACCCGACGGAGTCTACTGCTCCTAGACATCCTAAACTAAGACACAAAAATAGAACTCCTGGAGAATGAAAACTCCAACATAGGAGAATAACAAACTCCAACAAGGAGAATAACACACCCACAGACCCGAATACACAACAAATCAACACAACACAATATAACACTACCTCCTCTACATCTCGCGGGCACACGACTATGATCACACTGACCAGCGCACGAGTGAAATCCCACAACAGCCAACTCCACAATCAACAACAAAAGAGAACTACATATCAAAGCCCCACAACTAAAAACTCCAACTTACTCAAGTGGCTAGTCAGGTCTGGCGAGGAGATAAGTCCATGCCCAGATATGAGCTCTCGTAGTCTTCAATCGGGAGGTAAACGGATGCCTTGGGAGTTGATCCGACAAGCCTCTCCGGAAGAGTCGACGCCTTCACCAAATGGGGATCCAGCCGAACCCAGATCTGACGAGCAGAAGGCAAGACGGACACCATCAGCTCTGCTCGAGGCTGGATGCCGGCAGGTGCGCGGGTAGATAATATAAATTATTGTTTATGTATAAACTTTGAGTAGATGTGTGATATCTACTGAGTGGTCGCGGAAAAGCTAAAAAATAATAATAGTGGTGTTTGATAATATCATATGACAATTGATAGATGAAAAACTAAGTATTACAATGATTGTGTTTGATAATATTCATCGATAAGTTGGATGAAATTACCATCGAATGACACAGTTTATAGACCATCCACTATTATTTATAATGATGAATTGACACGTGTCTTATAATGAATATACTTTTAAAATCTATTGTAATAGCTTTAAAACTAAAAATAACTTATAAACTATTTTATGTAATCTCTCAAAGGTTGCATGAAGCTTAAACACGCTAATTGTTTCGATTCTTGGGCAAGGTATAGATCTGCTTAGTTTCAAAGGATGTGAAAAAATAGGAAGAACAAAGATGAAAAGGATACAATACAAATAGACGTGGCCAAAGCCCGGCCCGGGTCGGTCATGGCCCAGCCCGGTTCGGGTCTGTGGGTCTCAAATCCTAGGCCCGTAATCGGCCCGCATATATCTAAGGGCCGGTTCATTGAACCGGCCCGGCCCGGCGTTCATTGAACTGCCAGTTCTAAAAAATTATAATCGTGACCCGTCGAAAAACTTGGATCCGAAACCGGCACGACCTAGCCCAGCGGGTAAAAAATGAGTACAACATGACCTGTAACCGGCCCTTATGGGATTATGGGCCGATTCAAAAACCGGTTAGGGCAGGCCGGTTCATGGGTCGGTCCACGGGTCGGGCCAACCCGTGGCCATGTCTAAATACAAGGGTTTGTTCTCAAATCAACACTACTTCAATTTGATTAGACTTTAAACTATAGACTTTTAATAAATAATTATTTGATTTTTAATTATTGGATCAATACAAGTGGGTATGTGTGAGAATATGTGATCCTAAGGAAGATGCTTGGATACAAAAATATCCCAAAAAATCCAACTCAGTTTATCTTAGCTTTAATTCAATCTCAATATCATCAATATCATTAATAAAATAAAACAATATCAATCAATCATTCTTACACAACACACCAACCTTAATTCACTGTTCATCAACTCATATAATTTTAACTAACTATGACATCACATCTTCTCTATCAAAGAAATGTTCTAGTTCATTCGAGGAGACTTGACTCGAAGACTGACAACCTGTCAATTCCTTTGAGTTTCATTCTTGCGAACGTACTCCCCCAGGCGGAATACATAACGCGTTAGCTACAGCACTGGTTTTTTCTCTCTCATACTTTTATGTCAAATTAATTTTAACCATTTCACTTTAAATATTATTTTAATCTACCAACTTAACTAGTCATACTATTTTTTTCAAATTTAACCAATTCAAACCAAAAAATCAAAACAAAACCAAAACTTTTTATATCCAAGCTACTGTTCGGTGGCCGATAGAATCGAATTTTCCCACATGATAAATAATTTACTAAATATGTCTGCCAATATAAACGGTTAGTGAGAGGAATCTTCCCAAAAATTATCAAATTTTGTACTAATCTATGGTCTTATGATCGAAAAAATAAAATAAAATTGTAGACAAAGCTGTCAACATGTGTCTATCAACTACAACTTGCTTATGGCCTGTGATAAGATTAAGATTTTCCCATGTTTAATCATATGCACTGTTTTTGCTACTTCGTTTATGACAAGCTGTCAATCAAGTTCACCATGCAGTTAGATGAAATATCGAACAATACCGACAATTTTAAGCAAATAGAAATCGCAGATTAAAATCCAAAAACATGAAAAATGTCCAAACCGGACGAACCAAGTCTGAAAGTCGAAAGGTACAAGACAAGAAAACTGAAATACAATGGTTCCGACAAAATCATTAAAAGAAGATGGCAGTTGCAACGAAATGTAGACACAACAAGCACATTTTATTGGCCATGAAAAAACCTTAGAGAAAATGTAAAAAACTAACTCGAATTACTCCAAAGAAGATTGTCTCCATCCTCCGATGTTCTCATCTTCAACACTAAATCCCCTGCTCCTCTGCAATGACAAACATCAATTCAATGTCGTCTCAGAAAAAAACGAGCCCACAACTGTACTTTCATAATGTACAAGCATAAAAAACATACTTTCATAATTCAACGTCTAAGAAAGCATAATGCAGAAAGTTAAGTAGTAATGTAGAAGGGAAAGGATTTTTTTTTAACCTGGTTAGTGAACTTGAGGCCAACTCTAACCTCTCCACAGTAATTCTCATCCTTAACGACATTGTAAGCCATTGTTGGAACGCTTCCTTCAGCAAAAACAGTTTCCAGCGGGATTCTGAAACGGTTCAAGATCCCGTGTAACAAAGTTTTAAGGAGCAAACATATAACTATTTAAAAAAAAAAGAAGAAAAAAAAAATCGATAGTAGAAAAACGAGACTTAGGTTACTCACGTTGCTTCTCCTACAATGTCGTCCTGTGTGAAAGTGTCTTTGTCCATCAATTTGATTTTCAGTTCATCAACACTGCCAGAGATGGAGAACAAGAAAGTCTCGTTCCACTCGGGACAAGCTCCTTGACCTGATAAGGGTAATAAATGTTTCAAAGTACAAAATTACAACCCAAGAATCTGAAAAATAATAATAATAATAAAAAGAAACAAAAATTGCCGCAGCACAAAAACGCCTAAGCATTGAGTCTAATTCAGATATATGGAAGATTTGCAAGTAGAAAAACAGCTCTTTATATTTATCTAATAAAAACTCAAATCTCTTTTTCAAATTTGTTGTTATATTATATCCCTTTAATGTATTGCAAGAGTCACTGCATACCTTGGCGTAAAACTCGAAAACGAACAAAAAACAGGTGTCTTTTAATGTTAAACTATAGCTGTATCGTATGAGTAGATCAATATCAAGATATCCTTTTGAATAAATTAATTATTAAGTAAACATTTAGATACATGAAAAATGCACCTGATGCAACACTGCTTTTCTTCTCCTGTGTTCGGCATGAGAGAATGGCATAAGGATCACCACCAGCTGAGCACGACGAAAGTGAAAAAAGTTCGGTTAACAAGATTCATGTTACATACAGAACAACATTACAACATACATAATGTTACAAATACAACATGTTAGACGAACGAACATCTTTGTGTCCACAAATTCTAGCACGAAGCAGACTTAATGAGTAAGGCAGATCGACTCGTCATATTTAATTGAACAAACGCATACATACTTATACTGTGAAATGTCATCACATTGTCTGATCATTAGGCAGCCGAAATGCGCCTTTGGAAGAATTATCGCACAAATTCATCCGTGAACTATCGAATCCACACGAATGGAACATCGTATTCTTAGATCCCGTAACGGGTTTAGTCGATCCATGATCTTCTTCGCAGTAAACGGAAGCAAATTTTACTACAATTTTTCGATTTCCGATTCTTTCTTCATTTTAACGGATCCATCAATCTTCCATCGTTCATTATTCATCATCACATTCAAAGTCAACCCATAAGCACCAACAGCAGAATACATAAAAGCAAAATCAAAATCAAAATGGTAAAAATGCTTCAAACATCCTTATACACACAAAAAACATAGAATCAACAAACATCATGTGTGTAAGAAAACAGCCAATTTTGTTCCGCATAAACCCAAAAACAGCAAGAAAACTAAAAGGGAAACAAAATGATTTCTTGATTATGTCACCGAAAAAAAAAAAAAACAAATTATGATGAGATGGGAAAAGGGAAAATTTACATAAGAAATCGGTGTTCTCGAGGCCTTTGGCGCCGACAAGAACAACTTCAAGGGTGCCCTCTGCCATGCTCCGATCCAAAGCTGATAATTTCTAAGTAAAACAAGAGACAAAAAATGGAGTCTTGAAAAGCTCCCTTTAATTCTCTCGCCAATCTCTTTCTTGTCCAATTGGTGCATAAAATTTTATGTTTTTTTTTTATCTGTTTTTTTAAGGTTGGTGGGGCCCATCCTAGCTGGCTGGCAATAGTTGGTGAAAGAAAGCACTTAAAAAATGTGAATATATATTAATATTTTTAATACAAAAATAATTAGACTTGAATTTTATTTAATGTTCATATCTTCTACATTTAGCTACAATAAACTACTACTACGTGGCCCGCAATGGACAATAATTATAATTAAATGTATTAAAGCAATCCCCCTATATATTATTTTATTAATATTAATATAGAATGCGTTGAGCCTACGTGACTGCTTCTGGTGTTTCGAAATCCTATGTGGCAAAATTACATGCTTCGTTATTAGACTTGGGTAAATTTTAATTTAATTCCAAACCAAAAATAATTAAGTTCGGATTACCATAAATATATTGATTATTTATGGTCATGTTACATGTATTAATTGCATTTTAATATCATTCCTAATTATAACTATTAAATTGTATATATGTTTTAAAAGTTAATAACTTATGTATTTTTTATCAGTTTTACATATGTAATATATCAAATTAATCTTCTTTTGATGAGCTTCGATTTAACATCCATATTGTATGTATAAAAAAAATAATTAATATTTATCTTTATAACAATAATAAAATTATTTTTAATATTAATTAGAAAAATATAATTATTTATCAACTAATATATTTATATTTCAAGTAGTTATATGATATAAGTTATAACAACTAATATAATATAACACATGTAAGTCATAAGTAACACATATCATTCTAAAATATATAACAATATTTTTTTTTGATAAAAAAGTAAACTAAATTTATTATAGTTTTCTCATTAATTTTAAAATATAAGAATAATTTTTTAACAAGCACCCGTGTAATACACGGGTGTTGTACTAGGCAATATTGATTAGTATTGTGAATCAGAATATGAATTATTAAAAAATTGGTTTGATGTAGTTATCGATAAAATCTAATTAAATTTTTTACCTCCTTGAATAGAAGATTTTTGATATATGACTCGTTAAGAAATGAATAAAAAATTGTAGAGATTTGTTATTAATATTAAGATATCAATTTTATTATATTATTGTAGTAGTTATATCAATAAGATTTTTGTAATTGATTTTTAAATTTATTTTGCACTTAAATTTGCAGTGTTCTCACTCATATTTCGATACACATATGACTTGGATATCCACCAAATCATGAGAACACATGTTTTTTTATTAAGGATAAAGATTGGTTTGTTATTAAAGATAAATAGTTAAATTAATTTTGTGATATTTTGAAAATTTTGGTTTATAATTTTTTTAAAAGTTGGAATGGATGAGTTACTGATAAATCAAAGGATTATAAACTAATCAAAACATAATCTTTTTGATTTAATGGTTTTTTGAAGACACGATAAAAAAAAAAAAATATTGATATATTGTTGGTAACCAAATGATTAAGAATCATCGTGATTTGTTATTAATGTTGATATATAAAATTCAATTGTAACATTGTGATAAATATCATAATAAAACTTTCATACTTAATTTAAAATTTTTATTTTGTGTTATATTTGCAATCTTATCATGCATATTCAAATAATATTTTTTCCAAACGAAATATATTAAATAGACTTTTTTTGAAGACATGTTGTATGGTTGGTTACCAAAAGAATAAGAAATTCCAGTGATTCATAATTAATATGTAGAATCGATTTTTTATTGCAATAATTATCACTAAATAATTTCCAGAATTGCCCACTTTATTTATATAGAATGTTATTAATCGGAGTGCATGATTTACAACATATAAATTTAATTTTTTTTTATAAATATTAAAGTAATTTTTACTATACTTCATTTAATAGTAAGACAACCTATTTAATTACAAAGTCAAAGTGGCTATCCTAGATTTCCACCAACCTCTTTCAATATATATATAGATATAGATATATATTTTACGTTTCATTTTCCTACGTTACCATATACTACATTTCCTTTTCTTATTTAATTGACACATCAATTATTATAAATTTTTCATCTTCTTATTTTTAAATTCTATAACTTTTTGGTTTTTATTTTATATTTTATATACAATATATCAAATTAATTATCTTTTGATGATCTTCAATCTGACATTCATATGATATATATAACATACAAAACATTGACACACACACACACACACACACATATATATATATATATACACACACACATATATATATACACACACACATATATATATACACACACACACACACACACACATATATATACATATATATATATATATTCTTATACATAAATTTTAAATTTATTTATCAAACTAAATTAAAAATATCGAATAAAACTAAAAATTATCTTATAAAGTAATAGAAATTTATGTGTATTAACATACCATAAAATAGTTATTTTATTAAAAAAAAAAATATGTAAACTAACTATTAACATCAAATTAATATAAAAAAAAGATAAAATATTCTAAGGTTTATGTTTCAACTTAAATAAAGACTACATAGAGAGTGAACATTATAATGATCTTGAAAAAAAAAACTAAATAAACATTATAATTATAATACTAAAAATAATCATTATATCTTAAAAAGTTTAATCTCATACACATTATATTTTAAGTTATTTGAATAAAAATAAGTACTCAAATGGAGTATAAAACATGGATATTACTTCAAATAATTAACTTTAATTTTTTTTTTTTTAACATTAGTTGTATTTTTAAGTTTTTATCATTCTATTATAATAATAAAAAATTCTTCACTTCTTTAGTATGATACGGATATTTAATTTTCATGCACAAGTATTGTACACGGGCGTTATATTAACTACCGAATAAAGTAATTATTATATTTAATTTTGACAAAAATTAATATAATTTTAATATTATATGCATACAAATAACTTATAATACTATATTTACGGCTATGTTAGTCTATAACTTATTTGATTAATTTATAAGCTTTCTCTATTCAAATAAAGCTCAAAATCACTTAAAAGTTATAAGCTAGCTTATTATCTAGATTTTACTAAACATAACCTACATATGTGCAAATGCAATTACTTTAAAGTACATAATTTCATGTAATGTGATGATTTTTTTAAAAAAATAAAAATAAAAAATTAGGGCCTCGATAGAAGTACATGTAAACAAGATTTCGAAAGTCAAATTCATTCCCACCCCATGGCAATGCCTCCATAGAGTAGGTACCAATTTATCTATATGAAGAGAAAGAGAGAGAGAAAGGAAAAGATATGGAAAAATAGATTACATTGACTTTATTTAATCACTCCAATGCGCAAAATATATTAAAATTAATAATTTAAAATTGAAAAATTAAATATTTATTTTGTGTGTAAAATAAGGTTATATTTTCCAATTATTGCATAAATTATTGATATAGATTTTTTATTTCCAAGATCCCTAAATTAGATAAATTATATCTCCAATTAATACATTCAGTACGGATTTGGATTTTACAATCCCCTTCCCTCTATATATTAATCCAGAATGCGCTGAGCCTACGTGGCTGCTTCTGGTATTTCGAAATCTTATGTGGCAAAATTACATGCTTTATTATTAGACTTGAGTAAATTTTAATTTAATTCCAAACAAAAAATAATTAGGTTCGGATTACCATAAATATGTTGATTATTTATGGTCATGTTACATGTGTTAATTGTATTTTAATATCATTCTTTATTATAACTATTGAATTGTATATATATTTTAAAAGTTAATAACTTTTGTATTTTTTATCAGTTTTACATATGTAATTGATGTAGGGAAGCGTACGAGTGGGACGATATTAATGAGATCTCAATCTCAAGAACATCTAAACACGATATAATTCATATTTTCATTCATAAACAACCAAGGAAAATAAACTAGAAGTAGTCCTTTATATAAGGCCCCTAACCCTAAACATTAACTTGTCCACCAAGTCATTAAATAATAATAATAATAATAATAATAATAATAATAATAATAATAATAATAATAATCTACACCATTCTCCCCCGGTTTGGAAGGCTTCGCCCTCGAAGCCGATGCGCACCCGTGCCCGACGTATGGTGTCGAACCTATGGTAGTAACTCCAGTCGTTTCCCTCGGTCGAACACAAAGGTTGAATGCCTCACTCCCATGGTATCACCCCCTTGAAAGTCATGGAAAGACATATATGCAGCAGCCACACACATCATTTTGAAGTCACCGTGGGAACCAAAACACAACATCTGTTTGCAAGATCGCAACAAATTCACGTAGGAGAAAAGCTCGGGCCTGCGCAATAGAATAACTACCAATCGAATACCAAATTCTTCCAACAGCTGAATTTTGATGCCCGAAACATGATTGAATTCCTCCGGGCCCGAAGGCTCCTTATCGAAAATCGGCGGACCGTCGTAGAGACTGTCCACTTCACCGGTAAGACACTCATTTACCTCCTCGGGTTTTTCATCAAACACCGGTGGACCATCGTACAATGGCCCGTCAACTTGCTCTTCGTCGAATTCTGAGATGTCAATGCGAAACGGGCCCTCCCATTGACCATATTCGCGATTAAGTCCCCAATTGTGTCGGGCACGATATCCGCCAACGAAGGTTGTCTCCTCGCGCCAGCCCCTATCGCTGTGTTGATCGTCGCCGTCCACGAAGACCGGGCCCCGTCGCCACATGTCACGGCCGCCGTATGCAGCGAAGGGGTCAGCCTCGACGTGCGGAGGTTGCCACTCGCCGAAGGGATTCACCTCCGAG